AAAAAAAAAAAACAATGTATGTTCATAAATTCTTCGAATGACAAAGCGTCTATCTTTCCCGCATAAATTTTTCATAAGTAAGAACTCTACCAACAAGTACAAATAGTAATTTATATGTTTACTCCTCCTAGATAACCTACTTTGTACTCTACCTATTTTACTTGTGTTCTAGCCACGACGTGGACTTACGTTGTACGTAGAAATCCATCCAAATAGTGAAAAGATGCTCGTTCAAAGCACTAAGTAGAAAAATCAAATTATTCTTTAAATTCGCAGATGAACGGACACACGGGAATTTGAACACTAAATATAAAATAAAAGCAAACTCACGAGCCCTATACAATATTCTCTCAATAATTCAATATGATTCTCTCGTATATCCTCTCTGAAAAACTCGTGAACAAAATAGTTATCTATATATAACTCCACAAAATGGTATGTAGGTTCAAACAAGTTTTCAAATCTTCACAATCTCTCATTCTTCATTGGAAACTAAAAACTCCATGCACACAGCATACGTATAATGTCCAGATTCTCCAATATTATTACGATGCGATTCCTCTTTCCACAAATATCGAACCATTTTGATTCGTTTTCATGCAATGTATCAACATATCTTCTTTAATGGGTGAACAATGCACCCGTTATCGAAAGTGAACTTTGTCAAACCTGTTTTATAAAGTTCATACTTTCTAATGTCGACTGAAACTATAACGAACGCAAACTCATTCTTAGAAGTCAAATTTACCCGTGTTAAAAAGTGTTTGTTCAACTAGTGAATTTCTTGATCCTTCTCTTCGTGACTCGATTCTACTGCTCACAAACTTCCGATTTCATCCCTTTTCTTACAAGTAAAAAGTTCAACTAATTATGCTCAGGATGGTAATAATATTATTATCTTATGGGAAGTTTAAGACAGAAGAATCTGCCCTTTTCTTCAAGAAATACTTCCAAATTACCTATTTCAAGAAATAAAAATAAGATAAACAAATATTATCTTTGGTCATGTCAAATTCAATTTTCTTACCCTTTAGTTATACTTTTAGAGTTTGTGATAATAATTTGATTTGTTGTTTTTCTGCAATCTATAATGAAGTGACTACACTGGTTGTTACTACAAACACAGAGGCCTGGAATAAAAATTACATGAATGCACCTTATCTATATGTGCATGATAAATTGACATCACAATTGAATAGAGTACTTTACTTTTTTTTTTTT